CAGTCCGTCTACAAAACGTCTTACTTCTGGTCCCAACTTGACAACCACGACAGCTGAAGTTTTGGATTGGGTGGACATATCCAGCGATATTGTTTATAACACACTTCGTAAGCTCCCAAACAGAGTCTCTACCTCCCCTGACAACATCCCCTATATCTTCCTGAAGAATACCGCTCTCGCGATTTCAGCGCCTCTAACTATATTGTTTAACAGAATTTTACTTCACGGCGACGTCCCAGAGTTGTGGAAGATCGGGCTAGTCAGGCCAGTTTACAAAAAAGGTTGTCGGAGTATGGTGCTGTCCCGGAGTCTCATTTCTTATCTGAGTGTGTAACAACAATGTGAAACTCCAAAAGTTTATTCCAAAAAACTCAAAAGACAGTGAAAGTCTCAAAAGTTTATTATAATATATCTTAACTTGCAATATTTCGGTGCGTAGCACCTTCGTCAGGCCTGAAAATATTTAGCTTGTTTTGTTGGTTATACCTTCTACAAAGTGCAACCCGCACGGACCCCACCCCCACCAAGCCACTTACCAGTTGTCCCGAAATAAATGACCAACCCACCCCAACCATGCCCTTAAATAGTGGGATACTTGTGGCGCGATCACATTATCACTTGCATGATGTCACGTAGCTCCTCCCTGTTGTTTATTTCTGGTGACAGCCGTTTTATTTCCAGAGCCTCCAATATTTTCCTTTCCATTGTGTTCTCCACTGAGCGGTGTAGCACTGTGATGGTTAATGAGGGGGGTTCTTGGTGAGCGTGTTCATGTGTGCGATGCCTGGAGAAAGTGCTATTGGGGTAGGAAGGTGGAATGGGGTAGGACGATGAATCCACCTTCCTACCCCAATAGCAGTTTCTCCAGGCATCGCACACATGAACACGCTCACCAAGAACCCCCCTCATTAACCATCACAGTGCTACACCGCTCAGTGGAGAACACAATGGAAAGGAAAATATTGGAGGCTCTGGAAATAAAACGGCTGTCACCAGAAATAAACAACAGGGAGGAGCTACGTGACATCATGCAAGTGATAATGTGATCGCGCCACAAGTATCCCACTATTTAAGGGCATGGTTGGGGTGGGTTGGTCATTTATTTCGGGACAACTGGTAAGTGGCTTGGTGGGGGTGGGGTCCGTGCGGGTTGCACTTTGTAGAAGGTATAACCAACAAAACAAGCTAAATATTTTCAGGCCTGACGAAGGTGCTACGCACCGAAATATTGCAAGTTAAGATATATTATAATAAACTTTTGAGACTTTCACTGTCTTTTGAGTTTTTTGGAATAAACTTTTGGAGTTTCACATTGTTATTACACACTCAAAAAAGGTTGTATTAAGTCTGTGGCGAATTACAGGCCGATATGCCTAACAAGTTCCGTTAGTAAAGTTATGGAGCGTATTCTCTGCCGAAAATCACTAGCTATGTAATGGAAAACAAGCTACTTCACGACAACCAGCACGGGTTTCTTAGGCGTAGATCTACTATGTCAGCTCTGATGTCTACGGTCCCCATTTGGCAAAGAGAAGTCGATAAGGGAAATTTCGTATCAGTATGTTTTATAGATTATGCCAAGGCCTTCGATTCTGTATCGGTTCCTCTGCTGCTCAACAAGCTGGAAGCGTACGGTATCAAAGGCCGACTACTCCAGTTCTTAGACTCCTTTCTCACTGGTAGAACCCAGTCAGTTCTTATTAACCAGTCTCAATCCTACGTATATCACACGCCGAGTGGAGTGCCTCAAGGCACGTGCATTGGGCCGCTTATGTTCATTCTATATGTGAATGACCTAGCCAACATTATACCGTCAGATACTTTCTGCAGTTTATACGCTGATGACTTGAAACTTTTTACCATCAACGACTGTCATAAGCTGCAAGATGCTCTAGACTGTGTCGAGCGCTGGTCCAAGCAGTGGGACTTAGACATTTCTATTCAAAAAACTGCTATTATGGGCATAGGTAGAAATCATCCAGATTTTCCATTTACTATAGGCGGAAAACGACTGGTTCGAGTAAATCAAATACGTGATCTTGGTGTTGTTTACAGTGATACTCTAGATTTCAGTAGCTTCATACACGATCTGGTAGCAAGAGCAAGTTCAAGAGCTAACTTTATCCTTAGGGCCTTCAAAACGCGTGACCCTGTTTTGCTTTTCCGCTTATTCAATCTTTATGTCAGGCCAATCCTTGAGTATTGTTCGCCCGTCTGGTCCCCGTACAAACAAACGCTAATTGATACGATTGAACGAGTACAAAAAAGTTTCACTTATCGCTGCTACTTTCGGGCCAGACTGCGAAAAGTAGACTTGGCCTCAGTTCTAATGATGCCTGATATATGATTTGTACACTGTATGATAAGTGGTTCCGCATTGGCTGTTAAAGCATCCACTATTTGGTAGTTCACTGACCATGACTGTTTTATCTAAGTCCTTGCCAGGGACTCCTTCTTCGTTCTTTTTTGTTTATGAGTACTGGTGCACACACCCTGTCCGGAGTGGCACTTTCCTAGCCTACCGTTTCCACGAGGGTCGTCGGCATACCCGTGTTTCGAAGTTACGGTAAGCCCCTATGACCCAAACGGCACCACGGCCGGCTGGGTGCAGTCTGTTGTACTTGCGACTCTGATCGGGGCGCATGCATACACACACTCATAAAGCATATTGTACCATATTTTAGTCAGGTCCGGAGTCCGTAGGAGGTTTTTCTTATTGCGTCGTTTCCAGACAGCAATGCGTACATACTATTCTCTTTTAAAAACAGTCATCCAAGTTCGCGGTCTTTTCTCTGTTAGTGGTTAGTGTTTTGAGTTCACTTAGTTTAAAGTGGTTATTCTGTGCCTCCCTCTATTTTTCCCTTTTCTTCTTTTTTTTCACTATTTCCTTGTTTCTACAAATGTTGTGTCTGTTTTGATTAACTGACTGTTTTAGTTGTAGTGCGGTAATGGCCGCAAATAAAATAAAAAAAATAAAATAAATATAGGTTGTGGCACAGCATCCTGTGCCAGCTGTATCCACCGCTCTCTCGCTCTCTTCGGAGGACGTTTTCGAAGAGGGGCTGAGAGATCCCTAACTCGCTCACTTAACACGCCAGTCGCCGGTAGAAAATAGCTGAAAAATAGCTGAAAGTGTTTTGCTGTACCTACGAGGAATGCCTTGGGAACATTAATTACGTACAGCAAAATTCTTTCGGTCTCGGGTGATGTTCGTGCTGGAAAGGTGCTCAGAGCCAGGCGGGAATTTTAAGGTTGGGCATTTGTTTTCTTCCACAGTGGGTGTGAAGAAATGCAAATAAAGGCACAAAAACCTCAGAGGCGGGGGGGGGTCGTTTCGTTCCACATTTTTAGAGGGAGGGGTCGTACGAACTATCCAAATCCCCAACAATGAGGGCGGCCCTGTTAGTGGATTTTACGCTACAGGCTGCCTTTAAGACAGCCCCGCGAATCAAAAGTGGCTCGGTGGTCGCCTTTGCTGTCTTGCAAGTAATTCTAGCCTCTAGCTAGTAGGACTGTTCACCTTTCGCTATCTTCTATCGTGAGGTGAGCGAGGCTGCTTTAAGCCGCATCAAGTGCTAGTTCTGACTCCTCCTCAAGTCGAACGCCGCCTTTGATTTGTTAAATGTCGATCCGACGGAGGCACACACTATCTTAGTTGGGGGGCGGGCATTGTAATTGCCCCTGGATAATTCGCTTCCTTTCATTAAATTTACCCATGGCATGGTATTTACATTATCCATTCAACCATTCGCGAGGTGAAACGCGTAAAAAACACGAGTGACGCAATTTTCGTGATGCAAAACCACGACGCACAAAAGGTGCGCTACCGTAATCACAAATTCAGACACCGTGTTGATAAAATTCCTTTTTCCTTCCCAGAGTTTTTCCTCTGCGTTTTTGTTGTTTTCTTTTTGTATTCTTTCTTTTGCACTGGATGATATCAACTACTGCGAGATGTGATAGAGAGACTTGTGAGCTAGGGGCTGCACAGAGACCGCAGGGAGGTGTAACTGTGAGGGAGCGATTTTGTTTATGTTGTTCTGGAGAACGCTTCTTGCCTGTTTTCTTCTTTGGGAGATTACTTATCAGCTGCTGTTTCATAATTGGAAAGCAGCTATCCATGAGACTTTTATCGCGGGAGCTGTCTTTAATGCGAAGAGAAGGTGCGGTCGCACGAGTTTTCACTTGTTGATATCAGCTGTTTTCCCTTATCACCTCACTCTCACCACTCGACGTAAGAAGAAGCAGCAGCGGAACAAGCACATTATCAGGCGACCATTAGAAATGAAGGGGGCGGGGCGACCAACTCTTCGCTAGCAAACGACTATCCTTTCTCCTTTTTGAGATGCGAAAATAGCTCATTCTGCCTCCTTGTAGGGAGGGCTACGATGTCCGGAGAGGGCGTGAAACGCGAATCGAATCGAATGAACGCAGGCACTGCCTTTAACTACTAACTACAACTAGTTAAGGCTTGAAATATCCTATTTTCTGCAGTGTAAGGCACGTCATGTATAGGGAGCACCAAATTTTGCGTCTTTTTTTTGGTTGTTCTTCAAATCGTGCACAGTGCCTCCGAGGTCAGGCAACGTTAATGTTTTTCAATCACCCTCATGCCAACAAAAAGATTTATTAGCAACGCTACATACTCACACGTTACTTGCTCCAATGATGATGTGCTTGAAAGTACAATGAGGACAATTGTGAGAATGTAGGCATTGCTTGATGTAACGCGTCTATTCTAGGAATCTTGTGAACAACATAGACAACTTCTCAATAAATACTCGATTAAATCTATGTGGTCTAGAATTTACAGCGGAATCTCGGATCTGAAGACGCCGAAGAGAAGCAATCAGATGCAATAACACTATAATTTGCTATTATACTGACTATCTTTTAATCAGCACGCTTATCTAAACACTACGACACAATAATGGACGTGTGTGAATTGAACATAGTAGTTTTCTTCTGAGGTGCCTAAAATGGTGCTTTAGTAGTAGGTCTCATGCTCCACCCATCCTCCTGGCCATCTTCTGATGCAATAGCGTCGAGCCTTCATCATACACGAAGATCAGCACAGAGAACGGCAGAGCGCAGAACCACCACGAGAACCTTAAACTCAGATAGTAGAGAAGTTAGACGAAAGAACCAAGGGTAAAAGTTAACGCACCTTAATCCGTACATTCGCAAACCATTATCTAATCCGGGGCAGTAGCACATGAACCAGGCGAGAGCTGTTTCGAATACAAGACCAAAATTGAGAGTCCAGTTGGTCATTCCCTAAACAAAAATAAGCCTTATTCCTCAATCCCTGCAGAAGGCAGCGTTCAGACTTCGCGCCGTCGCGCTCTAATGCGCTACAAACTCAACAGCGCTCCAAGGCTACAGACGCGAACGCAGCCGCAGTCTGGTATCGACTGGCAATGGCCAGCCACTTGAGCGGCGCAGATTCTCTTCCGCGGATGCGTTCGCGCCTATAGGATTGGAGCGCTGTTGCAACTGTAGAGCGTCGACGGGCGTTACAATGCGTGATAGCGAAAAGTGAACGCTGTTCAAGGGTGACTTTGATCTCCGCTGACCTGTTGGACGATAGAGTTACGGCGAGTTTTAGAGATGATGAGATCGGCCCACTGTACAACGACAATGGAGACGAAGTAGGCTGTTTGGCAAGTGTACTCAAGGATTTTGCGATTGGCATAAGTCTGGAAGAAGACGATGAGATTCTCATGTAAAGCCCCTTAGAAAAGGTAGCGCTACCTACCCATTCTTGTCCATAGGAGTCAAGCACATTATTGTACGCACGAGAATCCCACTGAGCACGAAGCTGGTATAGATCCTTGGGCCAGAATCCATTGTCGGCCATGATCCAGAAATAGGTGAAGAATCCAGCCGATGCCTGAACGGAACGGGCCTTATTTTGGACATATGACATGTGAAATATGTGTGTTAGAGTGGATCATACACACTCGGTTCTGTTGCAGACGCTGGCGCGTGTCAGGGGGCTGGGTTTGGAGCAGCGTCAGCCCGCTCTCCACCGATTACTGGGGCGGGCACGGCGACAACTGGTGGGAAGCGTGCTGACGCTACGTCAAACCCAGCTGCCCGACACGCCCTAGTGTCTGCAGCAGAAACGACGTCAAACTGTTCAGAGAGAACCTACCTGAATCATACCAATCTGCCCGTAGGCAAGCGAAATTAGACGCTCGTTGACAAGTTTATCACGGATGGGGTCACGAGGCTGTCGCTTCATAATGTCGGATTCTGCTTCTTCGTAAGCCAAAGATATAGCAGGCACCTGAATGAAGCATTACTCGGCTGTCCGTTAATCTCACCTACACAAACACTTACCATATCAGTTCCGAGATCAATACAAAGGATGGTGACTGTTCCAAGTGGAAGTGGGATACCGAACAGAATGTAAGTAAGGAAAGGTGAGATTTCAGGAATGTTCGAGGTCAGCGTATAAGCGATGGACTTCTTGAGATTATCGAAGATAAGACGTCCTTCTTCCACTCCTACGACAATTGAGGCGAAATTATCATCAAGGAGAATCATATCAGCAGCTTGTTTAGAGACATCGGATCCGGCGATACCCATAGCCACACCTGCAAAAATTAATACTTGTACGTTTTATACAACACTTCGATGAAATAGTAATTTCTTTTTTATCTGGTGACAGTGACTATGGAGCGAACCCCCACGTACTCAAGAAATTCCGTAACTCATATCTTTAACACCGAATTCCCATTATTCGTTAATGCGAAACAAGAAACTCGAAGAGCAAATAGGTACTAGCCTACTAGTCGAGGCAGTTCAGCCAGGGGAGCCTATGTCGCGAGCAAGAGTTGATAGAATCAGCCATCTCGGCTCTACGAGCTTGCTCCAGCTTCACAGACTTCACAGGTTTCACCAGAGTGAGACTTGTAAACCAGAAACAAACTTGTGAAGCAGCGAATGTTCAAACTGCCCCTTACCCCCCCCCCCCGTCGCCAATTTACGCCCGACTAGTCTTTACCTCCGCAATAAAACTAACCAATGTCGGCCTTTTTCAGTGCAGGTGAATCGTTCACACCATCACCGGTTACAGCCACAATTTGGCCTTGCTTTTGGAATCCTTCCACAATCATCAGCTTTTGCTGAGGTGAAGTACGAGCGAATACGATTTCCGAGTGATTGCGAATGACCTGGAATATGGCGCTTTTGAAAATATTACTGAACAAAACCGGTTAAGTCAAAACAAGCTGGACCTCGGCAAGTTGATCTTCAGGTCATTTCTCTGAGATCTGAACCATGAACAACAGCAGCTTTTGCTTCACGAGGATCGACATCTTCGACAGGAATTCCACGACGGATAGCAATGTCTTCAACAGGTCTCTGTTCCCTCGCTGATGATACCAACAGACTTGGCGATAGCCTGAATAACAGTAATGATTCCACTGAAAAAACGAATTTTTCAGAAGAAATTAGAACCGAACCTTGGCGGTAATTGGATGGTCACCAGTGACCATAACAACTTGATACCAGCCGATCTACACTTGGCGACAGCATCAGGTACAGCTGCTCGTGGAGGATCAATCATAGACATGAGACCAACGAATCGCAATCCCTTCAGGGGGAAGTTCACCTCTTCAGTGTCAAACTTGAAACCTTTCGGGAACTTGTCAGGTGGCAGGAAATAGTCGCAGAACCTGTAATTAGGAACATTTATCTCCACTCTAAAAGCAAAGGCAGAGATAGAGATAGGAAGAGCAGAGGAAAGTGATGGTACTCCTGCAAGCCAGTCGTGGACAATACTCCGAACCTGATCTCACCGAAAAGCAGCCAAGTCTTATATTCTTCCGGGATTGACTAATGGGCATCAGGCTCGTCTAAGGGTGGAAACAATAACGATTCATCGGCTCTACCTCACCCACACCCTCCCAGCTGTGAAGTTCTGATTCGCGTGAAAACTGGTACGGATTCTGAGCGAAAGATCAACGCAAAATAACAAAAAATCATACCGCGCTCAACGATCCACGGTTCTGTCATTTTCAACTAACAAATGGATACTGGCGAGTGGTGCAATTACCGCCACTGAATACCGAACAGCGTTCAGAATTCGCGATGACGCGCGTCGACGCGCTGCCACTGCAAGGGTCCCTGAGTGCTACAGACGCAAATGTAGCCACAGAAGGGAGTCGATGGGTGCTGCCGCTTGCGTTTTGAAGGAATATGTGATAACAGGAGGGTAGATACTGCATTTACACAGTCTGACACTCAAACAAGCGGCCTGCACCAATCAATTCCCTTCTAGGAATGCGTTTGCGTCAATAGCACGCTGTTGCAATTGTAGCGCGCCGTCGCGCGCCATCGCTAAGTGTAAAAACTCCTTGAGCCGTTCGTAGTGGGAGCTCAAAGAACAAATACGACGAGTTAAGCAGTAAACTAACGGACCCAAGGACACGTTCTCCCATTCCTCCTAGTTCGAGGTAGGCCGAATTGAAATCAGCACGGAGTTTCTCGTCGAGTGGTTCTTCCTTGCCGTTAATTAGAATTGTAGAGCACACTGAAATACTTAGTTTAAGGAGCAGTCTCACAATAGGAGAATCTTACATAAGAAGCAGCCTATATAGTTGGTAGGAATAAAGAAACGTAAAAGTTACCATCAAGGATTCTCTCAGGAGCTCCCTTCATCACGAGCAGGTAGGAATCGCTATTAGGCACATCATGAATAGAAACCTGAAAAAGGATGATTCAGGGGTACTGTTTGGGCAGTCGAGCAATGAGCAAATGGGACTAGGTAATAGTAATCACCTGATACTTGTTGGTAGAATTGAAGGGGATTTCAGCAATTTTCGGAGATTTCTCACGTGCGGAAACTACATTTCCAATAGTGAGCTCTGTGAACTTCAGCAATGCAATCTCAGATGCGTCACCAGTGCAATCACGTCGAAGTACTGGGATGTCCTGTTGCCCAGGCTTGAACTCGGCTCTGAAATTAGGCAGTGGTCAATAAGAAGAATGAAGAAAAAAGCCAGGCAAACCTGTATGTTTCCTCTGATATCACAGAAGGTTCTTTGAATTGCTGGAATTCTTCTCTCTCAACTTTCAGCTCTTAGTACTAGTTAACCCCAACCTCCCCCCCCCCCACCCCACCCTGCTAACTCTTGTAATTCTCTGTCCGCCACGGATTACGGTACAGGAAGTCTAGGGAACAGTGGGAATTTCGGCAATTAAATATTCTCTCAATTAGAAAGAAGTGTTGTGAAAGGGAAACCCTGTTCGAAAACTGTTTCGTACTGTCGAGTGGGTGTCGCGAGGAGGCGACCTCATCGTCACATCATTGTTCTTCACTCCTCTTCACTGACAATGACGGGAAGCAGGGCGCAGTTTGACGACGGGGGGGGGGGAGGGGGGGCATTTTGTACTATCATTGCTTCCCTAGTTCCGGTTTACAAGTCTCACTCTGGCGAAACCTGTGAACTCTTGTGAAGCTGGAGCAAGCTCATCTAGCCATCATGGTAAAACCTGTCAACTCGAGAAGAGGCTGCCTAGATAGGTCGACACGTCGATGGGAAGTAGCAAAAGCGCAAGATGCTCCCCACCCCCACTCGTCAATCTGCGTCGGGAAATAGTTTGCCAAAGGAAGGGGAGCATTCTGCATTTTGCTTCCCTAGTTCCGGATTACATGTTTCACTTTGGTGAAACCTCTTAACTCTTGCGAAGCTACAGCGATGTCGTCGAGCCACCATGGTAAGTGGTACTTGCACGGCATTTCATGGCTTTACAAGACTTGATAGGGTTTCTACGAACTCGGACTGGTATCACTTCGTGGCTTTGCAGGATTTCACATATCTCCACTTGATGGCTCGACAAGACGGAAAGTAACAAAAGTGCGAAATTTCCTGCACACCCCCTCCCTTTCTCCCTCGAGTAGAGCAAAAAAAAACGCAGCAAGAGAAGGAACGCGCCATTGACGGCGTTTCCTTGTCCCGCTCACTAGGCAATCTCAAACGGTGTTTCTGCCTAATACGTTGTGTGCACAATAGGTGGTTTAGGCTTTTCAATAAGATACCTGTTACATAGGCAAGCGATGCGGAGAAGAGCTTCCAGGGTAGGTCCACTCTTAGCAGCTGCTAAACTAGACTGGTTCTCGGTAGTGTCGCACTCTTCGATCATCCTATCGTACCTGAAAATTCGAGTAAGTTTACGGTACCACAACAAATCCCTCTACTTTGCTCTCATAAACCGAAAGAAGGACGAACCACATATGAGCGACAGTCATTCGATTCTGTGTAAGAGTTCCAGTCTTATCCGAACAGATAGTAGACGTTGAACCAAGAGTCTCCACAGCTTCGAGATTCTTTACCAAACAATTCTTGCTGGCCATTCTCTTTGCAGTCAAGGTGAGACATACGGTGACAGTAGCGATGAGACCCTCAGGCACATTTGCGACAATAATACCTGACAGTTGGATGATGAGGACTCATTATGAGTTGCACATCGCTTTACTAAGGAATCGTAACAAACCGATTAGGAAAACGACTGCGGTCAGCCAGTGGTACCCAAGGATGAAAGCGATGATGAAAAATGAAACTCCAAGGAAGACAGCGACTCCGGTGATCAAATGAATGAAATGTTCGATCTCACGGGCAATGGGGGTCATACCAGTGTCCAAACCGGAAGCAAGATGGGCAATGCGACCCATGACCTCAAATGATAATTCTTGAAAATTAGCATTCAAAGAGACCGAGAAGATCCAAATGCAGGAACTTACAGTGTTATCTCCGGTGTAGATGACAATTCCCTTTGCTGTTCCTTCGACTGCGTTTGTGGAGAAGAAAGCAATATTGCGGGTTTCCAGTGGGTTTTCATTGGTGCAATCGGGAGAACGTGATTGAGGCTCGGACTCACCAGTAAGTGACGAGTTGTCCACCTACAACAAATTACAATATGCACTAGAAAATGATTAAGCATAAACAAATCTGACATGCCGAAGTTACAGTAGATGTTTCCTTTTACGAGGTTCAAAATGAGGACAAGAGAGGTGAGGCAACTTGATGGTATGTGACAAGAGAATCTAATACGTCGCGCCAGTGGGCGTCGCATCCGCTAATGACGACGATTTTAGGTGGTATTGGTCGAGAATAGACAATGTATGACCAAAAATAGACATAAGTGTCCACCATGTCCTTGTCTACATGAAATCCGATGCTCCAATCGAAAGGGTAGCGCAAATGAGGAAACGTCGCGCCCATTACCGCGCGCGACGAGGCAATTTACGATTCTCTTGCTCACCTCCCCTTGACGGTACTGTACTTGCCTTGGAATTCAGATAGCCGCCGCGCCCTCGTCATTCGTTGCGGGCCACGAGAGTGGAGCAATCACGGAGATGGCGGGCCGGGCTACTTAGGCAATTCTAGGAATTCCACGAATTGTTAGAGCGTGGGGCCTATCTTTAAATTAGCCGCTATGAAATAGAGGCATGCCTTTACTAGAGAAAAGAAAAATAATGTGTCGCTGAAATCACATAGCATGCTGATGACGTATCTCTTGAAGTCAAGGACAATAGTACAACCAGGTTCCCACATGGCTTCTAATACTTTCTTAGAGAACGAATCATTTCCTAACTTTTAACAGCTGACGGGTCCCTGCTACCGTGCTACACCTATGTCTAAAATTTAAATCTTCATGATATAATCACTATAAAAACGTTTGGCACAGTTCGACATCGGTGGGGAGGGGCATTTCGCACTTCCGCTGCTTTTTTTACCAGTTCCGGTCCTGGTTTTCAACTTTCTTCCTGGTGAAACCTGCGAATCCTTGTGAAACTGGAGCAAATTCGTCAAGCCCATTGCTTTACAAAAGTTGGCAGTGACACTTACAAGAAGTTGACAGGTGGTCCCTACAAACTTTTTCTGGTTTCATTTCGTGGCTTCACAAGTTTTCTTAAGTCTCCACTTGATGGCTCGACACGTCGATATGAAGCTGCGGAAGTGCAATCCCCCCACCCCAGATGCGGAACGGGTCGAAGGTTTTTTCCACGATCTCCGACTTGGCTCATATCAAGACCTCAGAAAAAGCTAGAGTTCTATCGAGCCGTAAAAAAAGTTCTTGTAATGCTTACTACTGATGCCAGCACCACTCATGCCTAGTACAGACATGGAAATTCAACAGCTGATGGTTACTTGTTATTTCCCCATAAGAAACTTGTCACAACGCAATGCAAAGCGAAAACTGCGATGGCTCGTAAAAACAAGAAACGCGATACCTTGAAACCAAAGGCGGAAATGATACGGATGTCGGCTGGCACACGATCACCGCCTTTCACTTCGACGATGTCACCGACGACCAGTTCTTCCGTTCGAATTTGTTGCTTCTGTCCGTCACGATGGACAAGAGCAAACTGTAAGTTACAGGTTTTAGACAAAAGGACTTTTCTTGTCTTGGAGGGAATGTTTTCAATCTCTCGACTACACAGATGTTTAAAGGCAGTTCTGGCACGATTAAATCGGCTATAACAGGTGTAGGATTTTGTACAACTGGCTTATAGAATCCTTGTGAATTCGCGCAGGCACTGCGTGGCGGTCCAAGGGAGGGTACCTCTATAACGCCCTATTGAGCAACAACTTTACGTCCCAAACGCCTTCCTTGCCCGCCCACAAACGGACGACCGTTTCTGACGCTCGTATTCATTCATTTGCTGAGCAAATTATGAAGCAAAGGGATTGTATGAAGCGCTTTCCTCCTTTTGATGCGGCATGCATACATGAGCGTACATATAGCCAGCCGTATCTTCGGGTAGCGCGATGATTGGCAAGATGCGTACGGGAAACTCGTCCGAAATCGATTTACAAGTCACTGAGAACGAAGGCTTTTTCTTCGCCGGATTTTGACCGTTTCACTCCGTTCTTTCGCCTGCTGTACGGCCAAGCGTGTGATACAGCCCGCGCCTACTAGCCATTTTTAGCGCTAAGTTAAGAGAACCAGTCGCTACTACACTGATTTAAACAGGTATTCTTGGCCTACATTTTCTAATTGAGTAACGATCAGCTGTAATGACTTACAGTGGGCACCATGTTCTTGAAGGAATCCATAATCTTGCTTGATTTGCTTTCCTGATAGTACTGGAAGCATCCGGTGATCACGACGACAGTCATCAATACAATACCGAGATATAGCTGTAAAATGGATCGATAACCACAGAACTCTATGGAAATACAAAAGTGCTTACGTTGTCCTTTGATGGATACTCCATGGTGAAATAGTCGACGGAATAAGCGACGTAACATAGGAAAGCGCCAACCTGAAAAGCGACAGTATCTCAGAACTCACACAGTCTTCACAGGTGGCTATTTTAGTAGGAAAAACGACTAACCCACAAAAGAAGGGCAAACCCTCCAAAAAGATTCTTGCAGAACTTAATCCACTCTGGAGTGGTTTTTGGAGGCGACAAGGCGTTCGGACCATCTCGAGCCAAGATTTCTGCGGCCTTTGCTCTTGTGAGACCCTGTAAGTACCATGGATGTCGTGCCATGAATACATTCCCTCTTTGAAACGATTGATTGTTGAAACTATTAATTGAAAAAAATAAGATGCACATGGAGGTTAAATTCTCGCGACGAGGTCGTAACAGTCCGCCCAACGTTTCAGGCGGAATGTAATTACCTTTTATCGTTTTCCAAGGGGGGAAATCTTAAAATGTTTTTCCTTGATGCGGCGCACTCTGACACATTACTATGATGCGGAGGAAAACAGAAAAGGAAAGGAGGTGCTGATCGGGCGTTTAGAGGACTCATTATAGAAAACTGGAAAGTGGAAATGAGGACTCTCGCCTGGTCTTCAAGACAACCTCGTGATTGTATATCGTGGGTAATCGAGTTCGATTACAAAACTATCGCGCCGGGTAAATGAAGATTTTAGGAGGGAAAAACACAAAAAAAAAGTCATGGCAGCTTCTCTGGACGAGTCTTTCGGACCTGCCCGTGTTATGGCAGCAAAGGGATATTCTACCGCCTCTGGCACCCTGATCGTCTCTCTGCTTCATCCAATGCTAGTAATCCCACGCGGCCAGGACTGTGCCTCATGTATAGTATGGGCGAAGAGACCAACTAGGGAGAGGAGTCTCAGAGCTGCTTCTCGAGGGACCACATGCGCCTTTGTCTACCTACTGGTGAAACCGACAAAGTGGGACAATCGTCATAGAGATTGAGGGGCTGAACCACTAGTACAAAGAAGGACGCCTACGAAGTGCTGAGCGCGGGGCTGTATTCAATGAGTAAAGGAATTTCGAGGTGGATGAACTAATCTAATGTACGATATAGCTTCTATCGAGTAATCACAGCCTGCGCGCAGGACTTGCCTCTGTATCAACTAGAGAGGCGTCAGAGCTGCCGCTTCTGAGGGCCACAGCGCCTTTGTTACCTACTGTGAAACCGCAAAAGTGGGACAATCTTAGAGACTGAGGGCTGAACCACTAGTACAAAGAAGGACGCCTACGAATTGCTGAGCGCGGGGCTGTATTCAATGAGAAAAGGAATTTCGAGGTGGATGAACTAATCTAATGTACGATAGTTCTATCCGAGAAGGGTTTGCCCAATTTCGCGCTTCAATGGTGCCTCAAAGGTCCCCACGCTCAATGGTGCAGACGAGAGAAGTAGGACTTGGTGAAACGGTCCCATACCCGAATCTTCCCATCTATTTGGCTCAAATTACTCAAATGAGGGCTCTGCCTTGACTACTCTCTCAATATATTTGTCCCGAACCCTAAGATGATCCTGGTAGATTTTGCTGTACCTTTGAATAAACTGAAAATACAAGGAGCAACCGTTCCTCTTTCGTTTCTTCGTGATCGTTTCTGGCACCATGACAAGGTCTTTTTGCTCCAGAACGGAAATTGCTAAGCTGAGACGCCCTGTTTTCCCTCCCCCATTTCCATCCCCAGAAAACTTCCCACGTTTCTAAACGCAGTTCTTCTTTCTCAGAGACCCCTGTGTTTTCATCCTTTCTCCTTTTTGACTGCAATTTCTTATCATCATAACAGATCGCTTTGAAACGATAAAATCAACGACCGGTCGACTGTCTCGATCGAAGTAACCCATTCGAGCGCATGAGATTACACTGCGCGTATTTCGCGCTAACCTATCTCAATTCACACTTGAATGCCTAACAACCAGCAGTATTCCACTCACAGGCCCCACATACATAGCAGTGGGAACCTTGGCACTTGTCATACTGCACCATTCCATATATCACAAATGTCACACCATTACCGTTACTTTTGTCCCAGAATGCAAACTTTGGAAAACCAGAACACCTACTTCCTTCTCCTTTTCCAGTTGTGTCCATCACACTACCAACATAGCGCTATCGCTTCAAAACTCCGTCCGGTTCGCAAGGGGGATCGTTTTAGACTTTATGTTCCCGGAACATTGATAATGTTCTACTTATTCAACGCAGTA